AAATTCTGTTCCTATTTTTACGGATACGATTTTTTTTTAAATTAAATACCCTTTAATAGAATATTTTCTACATGCACTACAATACTATAATTTCGCGGCAAGCGGCAAGAGAATAGTTCGTTTAATAACCATGTTCAACAAATTTTGCCAACCTTTAAAAACAATGGGTGTCATTAATCAGAAGAAAAGCAGAAACATATTAGTGCCACAAACGCGGAAGCAGTCGCATTTCCGAAGTAATAATTTTAGTAAAACTAATATTCATTTTAATTTTATTTATTTATACTTTACTAGCTGACTCGGCAAACGTTGTTTTGCCATATAAATTATTTCTAGAGGAATCGGAACGCGTTCAAAAATCGTTTGTCAGGTTGACAGATACAGTTTGTATGGGAAAATAAAATTGTTGCTATTTCGGTTTTCCATGCAATTTTTCTATAATTTCTCATAGTTTAAACCTTCCCTGGACTGCCACGAATATATTAAAACCAAAATTAGCCAAATCGGTCCGCCCGTTCTCGAGTTTTAGCGAGACTAACGAACAGCAATCCATTTTTATATATAAGAAGATTGCAAATTGCTTTAAATAAAAATGATCACGAAGGGCGAACTTGATGCCTATTGGCGTTCTCTCCCAGTCAACCCGGGGCGTGGTGAGAAATATGTATATACATAAAATAAAAATACTATTCTGGACTTTTGTAATGTATCGTGACCAACTTTCCGATTCTTAATACGACGTGTAGCATTGTTTAAAGTTTTTAGCAACGTCGAGATTAAAGTCAACATTGTGAGCTCGGCGTAAAATATTTCGAGGAGATTCTTATACGTTGTTCCTACTACATAAAGCATTATTTAGCAATAACAATTGATAATTGAGTCTATGCTATGTATGTTAACAATAAGGCTCCATCACGCAACCCAACCGCATAATATACGTCATGTTTATTATATTTGTCATGCTTCATATACAGCGTGTCATTACGATCCCGACAATAAATGAACACACGTCTAACGCTACTTGCCAATAATAATAAAATATATTAACGTTAAAAAAATCCATAATTAAAAAAAATATTTTTCAAACAAACTAATTAAATAAAAAAGAAACAAAATTTGTAATATCCTATACAACTCGCGCCATAGCGTCGCATTACAAGCCTCTCCTTCTAACAGTATGTTTTGTCTCTTTTAAATTCATTCAACCCATTCATATGCTTTGTGACCTTTACCAATGAACTTTACGTTACAGTTTTATACGTAAGGATGTTCTAAAATTCTTTGTTTTGGAAAGTTTAATAACTCTGTAAATATTGATGTTTCAAGAATGTAGTTAACGTTTAATACAATTTAAAAAAAGTTATCCTTTATATGTGTGTTCATATATTGTCGCGATGGTAAAGACACGCTGTATATTCATTTGCTTACTTCATATACATATATTTGTTACTTCATATATAGTCACATTGTCATAGTTCATATATATTCGAAATCTTTATTTCAATATTATTATTGCAGGTTACCTCACGATGTTTTCTTTCATTACTGATACACACGTGATAAGTCCAGCACTTATTATTGCAATTAACAACTCATTGGTGCTTGCACCGGAATTTTAACTTAGATTGCTCGAATATTTGACAAAAAAGCAAGCGCTCTTTTATAGGGTTCCGTACCCAAAGGTTAAACGGGACCATATTACTAAGATTCCCCTGTCTGTCTATCTGTCCATCTGTTACCAGGCTGTATCTCTCCGTGATAGTTAGGTTTTGAATTTTTTGAAAATGTCGCAGATAATGTATTTCTGTTGGCGCTATAACAACAAATACATAATATATATGATATATATGATATAAATGTATGTGATATAAAAACAGAATAAAATAATATTTAAGTGGGGCTGATTCAGAGAAAAACTTCTCTGCATGATTCCATTTCATGATTCTTTCTCTCGTTAATGAATGATGAACCCAACTATTTCGGTGTGTTTACGATGAAAATGAGCAAATATATTATTACTTAACTAATGTTTATTAAATAAAACTAAGATACCAATATTCTCGATTACAGGCTCTGGACACGATGCATCACGATGTTTCGAACATACCATTACTTAAGACTCCATCCAAGAAAAAATGTTCTTTTACAAATTATTCTTTCAACGATTTAAGCGGTAAAAAAAATAATAATTTCCTACTACTACACATTTTGAACAATATAGATGCAATAAAGTTGTTTTCAAAATGTTCGTATATAATCCTATGTAATTACTGTTTTCATACATTGCCAACATTTTAACTGGTCTTAATAGAACAATTATAAATTAAAAAAAAAATGAAATTTAAAATCCGTATGAATTCCAAATTCAAAAGCAGAAGCCACCTGGCCCAAGTAACCTATTAAAACTGCGCGTTGCATCAAACCCGACACGCTTGAATGTTGTCGCCGTCTCTTAACCTACATGCAGGGTAGGGAGGAATTTCGACGCTCACCGAGACATTCAGTGCACGCTGAGACCCTCATACCCTCTAGTGACCTCTTAAAAAGCCAGGAACCCGGCTGTTTTGAGACATCTATTACTCGTATCAGCTGCGGCGGATTTTCCACCAATAGCAAGGTGCGTAGTCAAAATACTTTAGTTTGATTGGTTAGAGCGTAAACCGCGGCGAAAATTAAATATAATATTTCCTTATAGCAACGAGATTATAATATATGATTAATACTATTACAGAAATATATTTTTAGTTATAAAACAATCAATATAAATGTCAGAAATGGATAAAAGGCATGAATGCTAGACTTCATTATAATGTGTGGGACCCACGTAATTTTGAATACCAAAATGTGACATAACCTCATCAGAGTTTAACAGTTACATTATTTACTCCAAAACTAAAAAAAGTCAAAAAATCGAGCAGCGCCGAAAGTTTTTGTTCATAAATCTTCTAAAGTCTCATCTTAAGTGAAAAATTGCATAGGCGCTAAATAAAAAAAATTCACTCCACACTCAGACTGTTGACTACATTCCGATGACGCTCAAATAATAAATTGCGCAGACGGATAAGCATGTAACAGCCATTTATATGTAGACAACCCTAACGCATTTGCATTTAGACGCCTTGCGTTGCGAACGAACGTTTTAGTTCTGCGTACATCTACATACCATCCGCGTATAAATACGGACGTACGCGGAGCGAAGCGGCACACCATCTGCGTACGTCCGCGGAAAGGCGCGTGCGTAGATCCGCATGTTCGCGGACGTCTGCGGAATTGCGAGACGTCAGCGGCGAACAAATCCGCAATAACAGCGCTGTGATGCTTACAGAGCCTGAATTAGCATTTCGCAGGATTCTATTGCTCTGTGGCAGCGCTGCCGTTTCGCTGAAGCGCTTTTTCTCTGATAGAGAGTTCGTTTGTGAAAGTTATTGACGAGGGCATTGTAGCATTACTCGCATCGTATCTGAGTTAAAATACCATTGTTAAATTGCAATTCTAAATTCCATATTATCAAATGGCCTGTGTTGAAGAAACAATCATGAGGAAACCGGCGCATTTTGAAAATAAATAAAAAAAATATCTGCATATTGCAATAAGGCAAACTTACAAATTTGACATGATCCGTAAAAAGTAAAATAAAATCACAGTCTGTCCTATATATCTCACTGCTAGCCAAAGGCCTCTTCTATATAGAGGGATTGATAGACTTCACACATCTTCGAATTCTTAATTTTTTGTTATGGTTTCGAAAAAATGCAGGTTTCCTCACGATGTTTCCCTTCACCGCCGAGCACGTGAGAATTTCTTATAATCACATTCATTTGTGACAGCTTGAATTGTACCCATATTGAGTGAATTGATTTAACACAGTGCATTAAAGGAAGTTCCGTTAGCCATTATTACATTCTTATATATCTTTATATTAGTAAAAGGAAAAATGTATACACAGTATAACAAAACTCGAATGGCTGTCGCTAAATCGGCAGATTCACCATGCGACCGCCATTAAATTGTTGACTAAAGCGTCCGCACTATTTACGTTACGTCCGCGTCGTCTGGAATCGCGGGACGCTTGATTCCAGAACGTTCCATCGGCATAAATAATCGCGATGTTCGTGTCGAAAATTCTAGAACATGATACGCAATACACGACCGTATTATTGTACTGTAGTGGTATCAACATTCCCTCCGTACTCATTACAGCATTCGAGGACGAATTTAATAGATTTGGCCAACCGTAGAATTTCACAACGACCGATATTTCACAAAATAATTAATTTATTTCCATCCAAAAAGTAGATGATATTAAGATTGAACGAAAGACTAAAACCCTAAACACGAAATTAACCATAAGCATATAAATAGCCCTATTTGCTATAATTTGCTAATATTGAGGAGCGGTCGTTAATAAATATTACTCTTCAAATTGACATATTTACTCTCTCTTTATTGATCCTCCGGATACATAATTGTAGATTAGGCATTCACACGCTTTACATTCGTAACCGTACCCGTAGGGTTTTAACCCACAGGATTATTCAACCTTTTTAAACGTTCCGTGTCCACCGGATCGACTAATAAACCCTTGACATGTCCAAACCGCGCACGAATTCTTTCCAAAAGCACCAGCTATACCAGGGCACCAGAGGCAAAGACTATGGGAAAAACTGACTTTTCAACATATTTCAAAAAAGTAGGAGGTTCTAAATTCGACTGTGTTATTTTGTACGTTTGTTACCTCAGAACTTTCGATTGGGTGAACCGATTTTGATCATTCTTTTTTTATTTGTAAGCTGGCACTTCCCATGTGGTCAGATACTAATTTAATATATATTGGATCTTGGGCTCCGGAAATGCTTAGGGAACTCCTGAAAATCATTTATAAAATTAATACAGAACGAGATATTTGAAGCAGGTTTTGTTTTACTTTAGTAATTGTTATTATCGTGTTGCCACAATAGGATACTTCACGTGTTTCTTCCTGATGAGGTAAACGGAGATCGATGCTGCCCATCTTGGGTATTACCGTAACAAACTCCTGGGACAATCACACAGTGGTGGTTACGCACAAGAGTAGGGATACTGTATACGTGAAACAAGTGACAGGTGACAAGCAGTGGGCCTGGCGACTACTATTTGATTTATGGTGGAGTCTTATTAATGGACCTACCTTACCTTACCTGTGATACGACTTCGGCTCGATAGAGATTTTTGCAACGCATTAAAACCGAGATGATGGAAATGCTAAATGAAATGGCTACGGCAACACCAGAAGCTATAGCAAGGTCTCAGCGTAGTAGGATTCTCACGCCTTGTAAGTCAAATAGGCGATGAAATTCCTAATTTTTTATTACATTCTTAATCCAAAACCTATTAGCTGTGATATCAATCCAAAGATGGGCTGTTAATCGCGATAAATGTTTAGCTATGTAATATAGATACACACCTATGTTTCGTTACTTTACCTTTTACAATTTTTTATAGCCCAACGAAAATAATGTTTCAAGTCGGTTCTGAGTTCTGAGGTAACAAACGTAAAAAAAAAAAAAAAAAAAAGAACCAGGAATTAAACCAAAATAATTTAATTTAGAGCCGTGACAGTGTCTGCCGTATGTCAATAAATTAAAGGCGAGCGCCCCGGCACTGGACTATTGTTCCAGTGCCCGGGCGCTCGCCTTTAATTTAATGTACTCTTGCAACCTGAGTTCGATCCCCGGTGTCGGCACCTATGAAACTGGTAATAATTGACTAATGAAATTATTGATTTTAAGTGCTTACTTATCATGTGCTCTGCGGTGAAGGAAAATATCGTGAGGAAACCTGCATATTTTCGAAATATTAACAAAAAAATATATATTTCGAAGATATGTGAAGTCCGCCAATCCACAGTGGGGCCGCGTGGACTATGCACTAACACCCTCTGTGCAGAGGAGGCCTTTGCCCAGCTGTGGAATATGTATAGGCTGTTACATTACTTTTTTTTAAACTTTACAAAACAATATTAATTTAGAAACCAATCATCTTAATACATAATAATACTATCATTTAAAAAGAAAATAACACGCAGTCTCAACGCTCATTCGATATTTGAAATATAAAAAAAGCAAAGCGAATCGACATTCGAATTTCGAAGCGTCGAAAGGAGACCGCTAACGAGGACAACGCAATATCGCCGCCAACTTAACGATCGAGCAGCACCGAACGCGACAGAAAGCGCTCGTACTCCGCGCTCAGTCACAGATAATAAAGGGAAAATCCAACCGGCGGTGTCTGAATGGCGGCGTTACGTAACGGCGTTGTACTATTTTCGGCGGGCGAGCCGCGGGCGGATCAATGACGCCCACGGTGAGCGCCATCTAGCGGCGGGAGGTGGGAACTACGAATTCCCCTCTCCCCAACATTCTTTTCTACTCCCCTCGCCCCGTGCGCTCGTGACCCCACTCGGCAGCGCAGCCTAAGGCCGCCGACACACTGTCAAAGAACTCTGACAGTGGACACGGGGCTTTTGAGCGTGTTTCTCGGAAAATAGGGGCCAGGAACGGTGTCTCAGGATGTCAGTAGGCTAAGAGACCTCTATTTGAAAATACTAGCAAACGGAATACATGTTTCTTTGTGTGAGAGAATCTTTAAATATAAAACAGCCAATGCATGGATTGCAACAGTCTAAATATTTTATCGAATAAGATAACAAACGAGTATCTAAAATTCGAAGACAAGTAACATAAAAGCTAATATCGCTTTCATATAAATAAAAATAAAACTCCCCAAAACACTACCTTTTTAATCTTTTATAATGATTTATTGTACTTACAAAAATGGTTATTCACTTTGAATTCACAATGCATTATTTTACAGCATACGTGTATTTCCTTAAACGCAATAAAAAACACATATAAAACGCGATAATCACTTTTTTTATATTGTCCTGAAGATTTTCATATGTCAAAAATGTACTTAATATTTGTGTGTGATGTATAAAGCCACTTAATATTTGTGTGTGACAGTTACAAGTGAATAATGCACTTAGAATTTAATAGAAGAAGAACTGATCAACTCGCAAAGAGCCGCATTTATTACGTACATAATTATTACAAACGTAATTTCGTCGCACTCATAAATCTCACCGATTCCAATAGCTTTAATTGCATTTCCCTGTTATGAACGCTCAATCGGTTCGAGTTCATAACACTCTCAATGGGTTCCCTCGGATCGTCCTACTTTATACAATCACGCTTCCTCGTTAACCGAACGAGTAATAAAAGTTCGCACTTCGCAATTATGGATTCGTGGCGACTCTAATGGTACACACTTTACGCTATATTTTTCTAAAGTGGGCCGTAGTTAAATTTGTAAATAGTTTTCAATGGTGGGACCGTGTTAGAAAATTAGGTTGCGTGGACACAGCGGCTCGAGAAATCCAAACTCACAAGGTGTCCCTCAAGGCAACCCGACACAAAGCCTTAGGCAAAAGTAGACACTGTGTACTCAATTTCCTTATTGTTCAACGACATCAAAAAACGTTATGTCAGAAAACGATAGATGTAATCGATATCACAAATTAATTTCATTGGTATTGGAATTGTTCTCCAGAGATGAGTGAAATATTTAAAGTCTATTTTGTTTTCTGTTAACATATAAAGTTACAGTCTTATATCCTCCCTTCCTTGCGCCTCCTCTGTACTATGCCTTAACATTCTGTATAAGGGACGCGCTACCCGACTGCCGTTTGTTGAACTTCTATTAGCGAACCAATATTATTTCTTGGAAATATTTTTTTTTATAAATATTTTTAGAGTCGTGATAGCTCAGTGACCGGGCGCTCGCCTGTAATTCAATACACTCGAGCAACCTGAGTTCGATCCCCGGAAACCAATGAAATTGTTAATTACATTAGTGTAATGGCGCTAGCCAGTATTCTCTAATTATATATTGTGTATTATAACAGTGGTAGGGCCACGCAGCAGACTAGCACGAATGGGCAGGCTCGTCCGGGTAAATACCACGACCTCACAGAAGACCGGCGTAAAGTGGACGTATAATACTTTCGCGTTTCGTCTGGTGAGTGAGGTGGTCGGAGCCCAATTTTCAAAAGATTGTCAACGCATCTGGAACCCTCGGGTGTAGCAGATGTCCATGGGCGGGGGTATTCACTTAATATCAGGTGAACCGTCTGCTCGCTTGGCAACTTTTCACATTAAAAAAAATAAATGAAGCTCGAGGAAAATGAGTCTCTTCACGAGCTCTGGACCCAATTCAGCTTTATGCCGTTTATAGCCTACGGACTGAAGGCGCGACAATCAATCATCAAATCTAGGCTTGGGAAAAATATATAAAAACATAGTATATATGATAATCATCACTACATAGTATAAAACAAAGTCGTCCCGCTGTCTGTCATTCTTGATGTATGTATGCTTAGATCTTTAAAACTACGTAACGGATTTTTTTACTAGATAGAGCTATGGGTGTTGTAACTGCCCTGGCTATCACTTAACAAAAGGTCGACTCGCCAGCTCGATTGCCATCTCCTTACATTAAAAAATGGTGAGGGACCTATGAGAGAGAAGAATGCAAGATCAAGTAATAATTAGTATCCGGACACAAACTTTAGCCATTGGAGTACAATTCTCTAACCCTCGAATTGAAGTCCAAACTTTAAGCTAGAGCTGGTACACAATTTAATTGGGGACTATATAATTGGTTTACACCACTTACCACTTGCATTCTTTATGAAACCTTCTTCTCTGAACAGACCTGAATCGGTGACGGGTAATATTTTTTAAACTAACATTGCTAAATTATACAGCGTGTCGTTACCATCGCGACAATAAATGAACACACGTCTAACGCTACTTGCCAGTAATCATAAAAAAAATATTAACGTTAAACAAAATCCATAGTTAAAAAAAAATATTTTTCGAACAAACTAATTAAGTAAGAAAGAAACAAAATTTGTAACATCCTATACAACTCGCGCCACAGCGTAGCATTATATGCCTCTCCTTCTAACAGTATGTTTTGTCTCTTTTAAATTCATTCAACCCATTCATTATGCTTTGTGACCTTTACTAATGAACTTTACGTTACAGTTTCGTACGTAAGGGTGTTTTAAAATTGTTTGTTTTGAAAAATTAAATAACTCTGTAAATATTGATGTTTAAAGAATGTAAGCGTTTAATACAATTTTAAAAAGTTATCCCCTATATGTGTGTTCATTTATTGTCGCGGTGGTAACGACACGCTGTATATATATATATATATATATATATATATATATATATATATATATATATATATATATATATATATATCTATATATATATATATATATATATCGCTTCTATTAAACGATAGGCATCGTCGGTAAAAACACTCTCATTTCCCCATTCTTGAGGAATATAATTAATACTGGGGATGCATTTACTTACGGTATTACCTCAGAAAGCAAGACTGAGACTATGTACAGAGAATAATAAATTCAAAAGTGTAACGAGCGATGATAATGTAGACATTGTATGTTATTTGTTAATTCAAAGTCGAAGTCAATATTTCTTAATTCAATATAGGCATATTTTAAGCTGTTATTGAACGTCAAAAAGTACCAATTGCTTTGAAATAGTTTAGTTTACTCATTTTTACGGTTTATTTCTGTCCTAATGTACAATCATAAGTGACTAAGGCAGTAAAATATTCCGCATAAGCCTGGAAAAAATCCCTCTAAAAAAGAAAATATCAAATAATTTCGCGCGAAAATATCTCAGAACCGACGCCATTTTATATCCTGTCAGACTTAAGTACGCCATCCACGTTCCTCAGACAACATGGCTGTGGTATTAAAACGTGCCGAGTTGCCAATTCATAGTTGAATATTTAGCAATTCTAAGTGGGGATTAAAATTTAATTACGTATCAGAATATTGGCAAAGGAACTTAATGGAACGTATTACTAAAGGATATTTATGGGAAATTTGTTCACTTTGTATTTTTCTCCTGTTATGTATATTTTTATCTTAAAAAATATAACTTCTTGGAAGCAACAAAAAGTCTTAGACGGGATAGAATATTGAGTATATTCTATGAATATTGTTTGATATTCATAGAATATTAAGTACTCTTGATATGCAGAAATTACTCTTTCATCTTCGTGTTCTCATAACATCCTATTAATTTAATACATCATCTTTACTTTAACGTCACTGTACATTTCAAGAAGTCTTATAACACATGCATAGATATGCAAAAGAACATGCACTTTACTTAGGCTGATGTTTTTGTTTTAAGTCTGTAGACTGTTAAAGCTTCATCGAACGCAGAACGCGTGATCTCAATTGTATTATCTTAAACAGAAGGAATGAAAGGTAGGGAAGCCACGGACCATCTAGGTTTGATACGGACCGTGAACCAGATGATCGTTAATTGTATTAATTCGTGGCTTGGGGCGTGGACGTACCTTATGCACGTGTTAGTTTCGCCGTGCCTGTTGACGGGGACATATTAGTTGATCTTGTTCTCTAGCTTCCATCGCACACTTGCACAGGTAGTCAGTCCATCTAGAGGGCGGTCGTCCTGCACTATGATGACCAAGGCTGCCAGTCGAGAATCTTGCTTCCCCATCGATTATCTTTGAGCAAGTGCGGTAAGTGGATAGATGTAGGCTCAGGAACATGCTTCATGGCAGTCTGTGGTGATGATAAAATATTGTATGCTAGCCCTATGTGTGGGTGAAGTGATTTTTTAGGTGGGACCTCCGTTGAGTCCCACGTTGTAAGTAAAGGGGGTATCCCCCTTTATTTACTGGAAACTATGTCGGCAAATGTAATATAGGTCAAAGGAAAACATGGATGAAGTGACAGAATGTAAGCAAGAATGTCATCGAAATACGAATAGTCCAAAGAACTAAAATTCCGAACTTTTTTGGGACTCGCCTTAACTTTCTCGTGCCACAAAAGTGTCGAAATGTGTTATGTCCAATTATAAGTTATGTTTGGTTTAAATAATAAACATAAGTTTACGAAACAAATGATTCCCACAAGAAAGACCACGTCATTTACTATGTGCAAGAATGTATCCTCGTAAAATTTCAATAGGGCATGTCTAGCACACACTGAGTCAGAGCATCTGATACGAGATACGAGACTATACTGGGGGCGTTCACCCCTACCCAGAGGTGAGATGGCTGGATATAATCCCCTGTCATTTCAGCTAATTTCAATTTTGGTTCCAGTTACTATCCGTTCAATTTAGATTGCCGCCAAGTGATTAACTTCAGCCGCTAAGTCGGATTATGTTTTGCCCCTTTTTTATTAAGTCAGCTCAATAGCTCTTGCCCTGCATTTTCATGTTCCCTGAGTAAAAAAAAAAAGAAGTTATACCACATTTTCCATGTGATCCACACAGCGGCTCCTGCTGTGTGAAATAATCTATACATCAAATGGGCAAACTCGTCTGCAGAAATA